GAGTCCAGACACAAAGCCCTATTAGTGATGATAGTGAGGATACAAAACCTGCTCCTGGTGGCTGATGCACGGCAGGATTATATGCTGATGTTTGGGTGTCTGTGTGAAAATGTGTTTTTTTCATATGACAGACGGACGGACGGACAGACAGACAGACAGACAGACAGACAGACAGACAGACAGACAGACAGACAGACAGACAGACAGACAGACAGACAGACAGACAGACAGACAGACAGACAGACAGACAGACAGACAGACAGACAGATAGATAGATAGATAGATAGATAGATAGATAGATAGATAGATAGATAGATAGATAGATAGATGGTAGGATGGATGGATGGATGGATGGATGGATGGATGGATGGATGGATGGATGGATGGATGGATGGACGGATAGATAAATAGACAGATGGATGGATGTAGAAAACAGTACAGTATTGGGTTCTTTGTTGATATTACGATAGATAGATAGATAGATAGATAGATAGATAGATAGATAGATAGATAGATAGATAGATAGATAGATAGATAGATAGATAGATAGATAGATAGATAGATAGATAGATAGATAGATAGATAGATAGATAGATAGATAGACGGACGGACGGACGGACGGACGGACGGACGGACGGACGGACGGACGGACGGGCGGACGGACGGACGGATGGACGGACGGACGGATAAATAGACAGACGGACAAATGTAGAAAACAGTACATTATTGGGTTCTTTGTTGATATTACGATAGATCTTGTAGATCGTAGATCTTGTAGATCGTAATTTTGTACACACACAGTCCCTTCAGGATTTTAAATACTCAATGGCTCTTGAAAAAGAATATAAATATACACATGCAGTAAGGAAAATAAATCACCGTTTTCCTCAGAAAGCATATTTCTAAAGGTGCTGTTGACAGAGGTTGATAACAACCAAAGAAATCCATATATACAAAGAAAACAAAACTAATAATTTTACAAATTAAGTTATGTGTAATAAAAGGAAGTGACGCAGGGTAAAAGTATTGAACACATGAAGAAAGGGAGGTCTAGAAAGGCAGTGAAAGCCCAGACAGCAGCTGAAATCTCTCAGCAGTTCTTCAGCAACCCTCTGCCCTTCCTCAGTGTAAATGAATATCAGCTGCTTCAGTCAAACATCTACAATAGCAGGAGGATGAAGATGAAACCAGAGTGGACATTTCAGCAAGACAATGATCCAAAACACAACCAATGAGACTCTCAAATGCTTTCAGAGAAAGAAAATCAAGCTGTAGAATGGCCAAGCCAATCACCTGACTTGAATCCAATAGAGAATACAAAATAAAGCTCAGATTTGATAGGTGAGACCCACAGAAGCATAACTTTGAAAAAGTCTGTAAAAAAACTCACACCTGAGCAATGCATGTGACTTCATTCTCCATATGAGAGGCATCTTTATCCTGCATCACCAAAAGCCTTTTATATAAAGTATTAAATATGTTTCAGTAGTTCAGCATATTCCCTTTTTTTCATTTCATTATGACACATAACTCCTTTTCCATATTTTTTTTATGCTTGTATTGTTTGAGTTTTTACCAAAATTGGGTTTAATTCCATGTGAACAGCTTCTTTAGAAATATGCAAACTCCTGTGATTCAAATCTGAATATCAGCATCTTTCTTCCAGTCTCACACGATCCTTCACAACTCATTCTAATGTGCTGATTTGCTGAAAATCCTTTGTAGCGATATTAATATCTCTGCTGTTTCATTAAGCAGGTTTTCTTCAAAAGCCAGCAGGAGCTCGGTTGATGAGTTTAGTAGAGTTTGAGTTGATTATTAAAGCTCATTCGGGACATTGAGGGTCTTTTCGAAGATGCTGGATCAGCGCTTCTCCACACCCAGAGCAGTTCATCAGTGTCTACAGCCCCAGCAGGTATCATTAATAATTCTAACGCAAGACAAGGGAATGAAATGAGCTGTGAATATTCAGCAGAGACTGAGATTTAATCTGCATGTTCAGTGTAATCTGATGAACATCATGTCTTTGTCATTTAGAACAGAAGTTCTCATCCTTTTTCACTTCGAGGCCCACCTCACTCTCTAAAAATGTTTTTGAAGGCCCAAACTGATTGTCTAGAGAAAAGGCTTACTTTAAAGCTTTATTTATTAGCCAACATTTCTTTTGCGTTCTATTATTATATGTAAAAAACTTTAAATAATATATATTCAAATATTAAAAAACAAAAATAATGCACAGACAGGTTCGAAGCTCCTGAATTTTTTATTTCAGTTATTTTTTTTTTACAACTGCAGAGTATTTGCGCCTTTTCTTTAATAAATAAACCTGACTGGACAGCCTGATCTCACAAGAAAACGTAAGTATTTTACGTTTTGGCAGTTTAGTGGCTAATTCGTACGAATTCGTAGGAGTTCAGTCGTAAGAAAATGTACGAATTTAAAAAGGAGGCGTGGCACCTAACCCCACCCCTAAACCCAACCGTCATTGGGGGATGAGCAAATCGTACTAAAATGTACGAATTAGATCGTACGAATTTGTACGAATTAGCCACTAAATGAAAAAGCTACGAATTGCCGTGAGATTGTGTTGGACTGGACAACAGGAGATGGCAAAAAATCAGCTGCTGCTGCTTTGAATTAGACTGACTACCATTCATCTATTGATCCACTATTCATATCCATTAAAAATAAATGTAAAACACCATAAAACATGCGAAACACCTCGGTGGTTTGGTTTGTAGCTACATTATTGTAGTTGACATTATTATAGTTCGCTGACAGGACGGATCACTGATACGCCACCGAATCTCGATGTATCCTACTGTACGGGCGCACGTCCGTTATAAAACACGTTACGTTCATTTGGACAGATGGATGGATGGACGGATAGATAGATGGATGGATGGATGGATGGATGGATACATAAATAGACAGACAGACAGACGGATAGATGTAGAAAACAGTACAGTATTAGACAGACAGACAGATAGATAGATAGATAGATAGATAGATAGATAGATAGATAGATAGATAGATAGATAGATAGATAGATAGATAGATAGATGGATGGATGGATGGATGGATGGATGGATGGATGGATGGATGGATGGATGGATGGATGGATGGATGGATGGATGGATGGATGGATGGATGGATGGAGGATGGATGGATAGATGGATGGAGAGAGAGAGGGGGTAGATGGATGGATAGATAGATAGATAGATAGATAGATAGATAGATAGATAGATAGATAGATAGATAGATAGATAGATAGATAGATAGATAGATAGATAGATAGATAGATAGATAGATAGATAGATAGATAGATAGATAGATAGATAGATAGATAGATAGATTACTATATGGATATTTGAAAGTATTCACACAAAGAGAGCACGCATAGTTTGTGAATTAATGGACTTGTGCGACTCTAATACAGTACGAGTCGTGGACGTGAGGCACGTGTGAGCTGGTTTTTAAAACTCTAATCATCGTTACCTTTCAATTTATACAACTGAGGACATAGTTGACGCACAGCGGTTGGAATTTTAAGCCACAGTCTACATTTAACAGTGAGTCCGAATTAACCTGTTCAATCACAGAAAACGAGAAATACCATTACTTCGATCATTTCAATATTATATATTTAATAATGAAATCAAATAATTCTAGTATAATATTTAGGTTAATTTTAAGCTAACTCGCGGCCCACCTGCAGGATCACTGAGGCCCACTAGTGGACCGTGGCCCACCGGTTAAGAATTCCTGATTTAGAAGATGCACATGTACTTTAGGCTGAAAATAGTGAAACTATTAATCCAAATATGCAGCAAATGATTGGCATTTGAGCTCTTCAGATTTACTCAACAGAAACAGTTTAGGTTAGGTTTTAGATGCTCTTCTGCAGTCCGCAGACTAAAATATTGTGCATTTTGTAGAGTGTTGTGTAATTCTTGAAGACGAAATATTGACTTTAAAAATTTCATTGATTTTTAAGAATTATATTTCCATTGAATTAGTTATTTTGATTTTATATATACAGTTGAAGTCAGAATTATTCACCCCCCTTTGAATTTTTTTTCTTTATTTAAATATTTCCCAAATGATGTTTAACAGAGCAAGGAAATTTTCACAGTAAGTCTGATAATATTTTTTCCTCTGGAGAAAGTCTTATTTGTTTTATTTCGGCTAGAATAAAAGCAGTTTTTAATTTTTTAAACACCATTTTGAAGTCAATATTATTAGCCCTGTTAAGCTATATTTGTTTCGATTGTCTACAGAAAAAAGAAGAAAAAAAACATCATTATACAATAACTTGCCTAATTACCCTAACCTGCCTAATTAACCTAGTTAAGCATTTAAATGTCACTTTAAGCTGTATAGAAGTGTCTGAAAAA